AATCAAAAATTTTACCAGATCACTGGGAGGACATTTAACTGGCCCTAAACTAAACTTCATACAACACTTTCTGTTGCACCTGAGACATGCAATAAATGTCTCTGCTAAAATATGCACTTTTCATAGACACGGCTGTCAAAGTAACTTTTTTTCATGCATAAGTGTACATACGCAGTGTGTGACCAAATATATGTGGGAACAATTTTTTCTACAGAGTAGTAACTAACATAAATTTACTGTCAGCATAGTTGCATCTTTTAAGATATAATAACAAAGGGAAAGGAGGTATTTAGGGAAATAAAGTCAGACACTGTTGAAAGGGTCAGTGTTCCTCTCGCTTAGTGAAGTGTTTATGTGACATACTTATTGATCTAAGCAGAACACTAGTTTATGCCATAAAAATTCATGTCAAAAGTCTGTGAAGCTGTGAGAAAGCATAATCTTCAGGCTATATTTGGTATGTATATTGCTAAAGGAATACTGACGCTTTAAACACAGTGCTGAATTTTTACAATGAGAGTGGATAGTACTATTTTCTTATTATTTGAAATTAATATCTGATCTCATACAAACTACATTGTTTCAGAGTTCCTGTGGTGAGTTTGCACTATTGTTTTATTGTATGGACCATAGTGTCACTTGTAGCATGTCAATCGTGTCAAAAAAAAAGTCAAATAATTTTTTTCTTCTATGCTTGTGTGTCAACAAAGCTAAACATCATGTACATAGTGTACAATGTTTGTAAATACTGGTTTCACACTAAGTAATTCTATTTTGTAAACTGAATATGGCTATTTAATTTATTGTGAAAATTAAATTTATTGTGGTATTTAAAAATGGAATGGATTAAAATTACCTATACGCGCAGTGGCTTTTCAGCTTTACTTGACGTACATCACTGTGGTCGCTTAGCCCAGACAGATCACGTGTATGTGTGTGAGAGAGTACTGTGTGTGTAAACTTAGTTTCTAGACAGTTGAGAAAACTGAAACGTGGTGTAGCTGAGTTTATTAAAAAACTCATCCATCTGGGAATCTGGTTTAACACACACCTCAAAGAACATCATTGCTGTTCTGTTGCAGCACTTTGCTGTAATTAATTCAGTTGCAGTAGCGTGTGAGCTAAAAAATGACTGTAGAAGCTTACTGTAACCAGGTGTATCAAAAAAAAGCAGAGCCACCATTAAAACCAAAACAACAGACAGAAAAACATGATTAGAAGAAAAGTTATAGAGATTTCAGCACCAAAAGATGGTGGTGTTTCAGAAGTCAAAGTAAACAGTTGTCATACCTCTGCTTTTATCTGGTAACATATGCACCTGCTCCAAACAACCAAGCACAGTGTTGTTATTACTGGTATAAACATACAGCTAATGTTGCCATTCAGTAAGTGCCAAGAAATTAGTTCAGGAAATAAGTATTTTCATGCTTTATACATTGTGTGGCTCTTAAAAGATTCATAAGCAAAAGAATAAAAGCAATTGGAAAATGTCTTTTAAAAGAAGAAAAAAGAATGAAAAAGAAAACACAAACTACCCAACCAAAACAGAAAACAAAGCACCAACCACTTCAAACCCAACATCTAAAGATTAATGGGGACACAGATTTTGGAAGGCATCCAGAACGTGAATATTCTGAGCTATATGGTAGCAGAGTAGTTGGTGGTTCAGATTATAATAAGATCACATTTTCCCTGTGGGCTGTTTATCTTGCTCAGTGATTTGGAAGCATCGGTTTTCTAAATAAGTGATTTTTAAAACTCTTGTGAGAGATTGCTACTTGTCTTGCTGTATCTTTAATCATATGTGCTAGCACTGTGAGCAATGTGCCCTTTCTACATGCTGCTTCAAAGCCTTGCCAACAAAACATGGTAGAACATATGTGAAATTTTTCCCAGTAGCTACAATGCTACTCACTGTTTTCCTGTATAAGACTCCTTTATCCTGCCCACGTCCAGATATAAAAGCTGAGATATTTAACTCACCTAATAGTGTTCAGTGAGGAGATTTTATCCACTTTAACATTTTTATGATTTTCAGGTAAGCAGACAGATTCCAGGTGGCTTTGGTTGATACTTACTGGCTTTATATAGCCCTGACTACAAATTACAACTGAAGGCTGAGAAGTATTTTCAATGAAAGGGACAAATGAGGACAAAGCCATCTCTAAGCATAAAATATCCATTTGAAATGAATATCTTTCTGCATTGATCAGAAAAATCACAGAGCCTGTGATCTAACAGGCACGACTACACACATTCCTGTTAAAGTCAGCTGGCTTAACTCCAGTTTATCATTTGCAATTTTGGAGACACACGGATAAATTTAGGCCATATCTTACACAAATCTGGTTCAGAAAGCACAGAGGAATAGTCAGGAATAGCAGGGGAGGAAAGAGGATTCAGATGCATTGCAATGTATTAAGAAACCTAAAAGAGCAGGAGAGTGATTCACTTTCACTGAGCCTGCAATGCAACGTCCTCAAGTCTTTTTGACATGACATAGTGAAAAGAAAATTTCCAAACTGAATCTTAATACATAGATCCAACACACCACCCAAAGCACACTCTTAGGTTAATGGGGATTTTGCTGCAGTATTCATAACGGGTTTGAGAAGTTCTGACTTTATGGTATTTACTTCTTCAGGTGCAATTTGTTAATAATTCATTTCAGCATCTATGCTTTGCTTTCCAAATACTGAGTGAATCATTTCTATTCAAATTGATCATGAGTGTTCAGACTGGAAAGAGCACTCTTAGCTTGAATTTATGATTACAGAGTGATGCACAGCTATATGAAGTTGCAGCTGTTAACTCATGGCATTCAAGTTCTCTAAACACTTTGCATTTTTCGCATTTTCTGTACCATAAAATTGCAGGCTTCCCAGCTCTGATAAATGTTTGGATTAAAACTGCTAATATTTCTGTACATTTTTATCAAATTTTCTCAGCTGTTATTTAAACTACATAGAACAATAATTTGCAGCACAAAAGAATATCTGAGATGAATTTGAAATTGTATTTTCAGGAATCACTGTATAGATAGATAAAAGACTGCCATTTGGAGATCAGTGATTCAGTTACCCCACTATACTGCCTTTTCTTAAACAGAAAAGTGAGCATAATTAAAATGTATTTGCCCCATTTTAATGTTTGGGTTTTTTTTATTTTGGCGTGATGTCTAAGAATACAAGAGAAAACATTTTTAGCAACAAATTAGTTCAAGAGGGGCAATGGGCACAGACTGAAACACAGAAGGCACGTCTGAATATCAGGAAAATCTTTTTTACTATGAGGCTCACTAAGCACTGACACAAGCTGCACAGAGTGGTTGCAGAGTCCCCATCATTGGAGATACTCAAAAGCCATCTGGTCCTGGGCAACTGGCTCTGGGTGGCCCTGCTCAAGAAGGGGGAAGGAGCCTCCTTTCAACCTCAACCATTCTGTGATACTGTGAAGATCTCCCTCTACCATTAACATTCATCTTAAATATTGCCCATTAGTTCAGCATCCCACAGACCACAGAGGAGGTCCAAGCCCAATGTCACAAGCCAGTCCAGTCATCTTTCAAACTCAAGCTATGAAAACACTACTGTGCACATTTACTCCCTGGTGAGCTGACATAATTCATACTGGAACCTATGGAACTTATTGGGACCATCCAAGTGGAAAAAATGAGGAAGTAACTTAGAGAAATCTTCCTGTTTTTGCATCCTGGATGACCTCAGCAGTGAAGTTGAGTGGCAGAGGATACTGTAATATAAGGCCCATAGCAAGTAAACTTCCAGAAAAAAAGAAGCCCACAGTGAGCAATGCATGGAATTCTGTACAGCAAGACACTGATGTATACTCAGAAACTTGGGCAATAGAGCCATTAAAATTTGTTTCACTGATGTCTGTTATTTAAATTTTCTGCAGTACCTACTTATATTAGCAGCTACTTATACTGGATACATGCCTTAGGGATATATCCAGACTGCTGCATGAATGCAAAAGATTCATGTTTGAATGTACGTGCTAAAGATTTAACTTACATTGCTTCTCCTTTTTGATTTGAGTAATATATAAGATCAAACTGTAGATCGTAATTTGAAGAAAACAGAAGCAAAAGTTCAATCAACCCACAAACACGACAATGAAGTTTTAGAGAAACTTCATTTCCTTGTCCTCAATATAGGCTCCTTGACAATGATGAGACTTGTTGAAATCATTATCTAGCAAGATATATCTATTTTACTCTAAACAATGAAATGTTAGCAACAGTGAGAAAATAAAGGTCCTATAAAATTACTGTGTGAAACTTTCAAATGATACTTTCTTAATGGATGAAACTTTTTTACTTAAATGCTCAGACACCTGTCTAAGGTGCTAGTTCAGAAATTTCATGGATTTAAGGATTCTCTAAATTCTACAATTCTGCTTCCAGACATTTTCGGTTTGATGGAATAAACTCATTGTTACACTGCAGTACCTAAATCCCATGCTGAAGTCATTGAATGCAGTTATTTTGCAAATATGATTTCACACATGCAACTGGTTTATCTCCCATGCAGTAGAGTGCTCTAGCAAAAGGTGTTTGCTTGCAGTTTAAGTGATACCTCTCATTGAAGTTTTAGCAGTGCTAGAGAATGTTCTAGAAATAGCGTATGTCTGAAAGAAGTTATGCACTTCCTTTGAAAGGCCAAAGACAGAGCCATCCTTGGAAAGGATTTTTAATACCCACTCAGAAAAGTTCAAGGCCTCACTTCTCCTAAAGCAGTTAGTGCTGGAGCAAGGAGAAAATGTCAGGAGTTGAATGTTACAGGGAGTAGTATTTCTGCTTTCATTTAAAATAGGATAAAATGCTATTTCTTTTCTGTGTACAAACAACTTTAGAAACCAGGTTTGTAGAAGCCTACAATCCCATGGCAGTTTAAATCAACCCACTGATGCCTGACAAGATCCCAACCTCCCTGGCCACATAATGTGTTCTTTCCTTCTCCTTTGTACTGACTCTCATGCTTACTGCTTCTTCCACATGGAGCTGCTTCACTTCACTATGCAAGCAGAAGACTAACCTGTCCTAAAAAGGTGAGTAACATCACTAAAAAATATCCTGGGTCAAAGAAAGGTATTTTCAAATCAGGATCTGTCACTAGAAGTGGCCAATAACTAATGCCTCATGAAGGCCATAAAGACAAGGAAAGCATGAAGACAGTTCCAAACTAATGTTTTGCAGTCATCAAATGTCTCCACTGTGAGAGGGATCTAGAAAGCCCTTGAACCCCCTGACAAGGTGCTCCTGAGCTACGTTCTATATTCTCCCCTGTTACTGTTTTTCAAGACTGGATGTACAAAATGAACCAGAGAAGATTGAGTAGTACCTTTAAAATCTGATAATGAATATAATGATATGGCAATAGAAGTTTTATTTTCCTTCCTAACTCACTTTGAAAATGCTATTACTTGTTTTATTAGTTTCTTAAAAATACTTACCATGCTACTTTAGACTCATTGGAGATCCCTGACAGATGTGGTTCTCAGATTTGTAAAAGACTGCAGCAACAGAATAAGGTATGGTAAATTTTACTTTTTAAAGAGCTTTTTTTGCAGAGAAAAGGACTTATGATGACTGTTTTAAAGATATTTTTAATAGTAATCTCCAACATTTTTTGTTATTGTATCTGTAAAATCCAAGGACACCAACTGGCTACTAGGCTACAGTACTTAGTCTTCTAATTCAGTGTCAGTGTTCAGTCTATTGTGTAAAATTTACTGCATGGAGGAGAAAAAGAATATTTAAAAACATTAACAACATAGATCTGGTCAGTCTCAGATTGCCGTATAAGGATTTTGTTACTGAAGGCTCATGCATGTTACTGAAATAGTGATGTACCCAGGCTAATCATCATTACTCCCTTAAAGTTGATTTTTCCTTCATTTATTAGTTTCTCTAAGGAGATGCTTTATGTGTGATATCCCACAACACTCTTCTACCACCTGATCAGCTCTGGCTATTCTGTTCTTTAAAGCCTGATTTACCTTCTGACAACCTTGAGACAGACCTAATAAACTCATCTTCAGAACTACCAACTATTACTAACTGCATTTACCTTCATAGGGAAAGGATTTTCAATTCTTTCTGCAATACTGCACCGATGAAAGAGTCAAGCCCTTAGAGAACATCCATGTGTTATCAATCTGGATACCAGCCTTTTTCCCAGGGCTTGAATTGACAAGTGCAAGAAAAGCACAGAAAACACTAGAATGCCGTCATCCATCTGCTGCACCGTGCTTAGCATATGGTAAATAAGATTACCTGCTGTTCTGAGATTGCTATTAAAACTGGCAGTATCAAGACTTTAGGGGCTGATGTTGACCAAACTACATGACTCTTTTTCTAGCTTACTTTCAGTTTAAATTTGACTCTATCCAACTCCATATCAGTTACAAAGTTCTCTCTCATGGTGCACTGTCCCTGAAATGTATGCTTTGTGACACTGAAAAAGAAACAGCAGCAGAGGCTGACACCATCTTTGCCACTGTGACTGCAGAGAAACATTGCAGCACAATGAATTTAATTCTGCTGATGTCCTTGTGTTTCCTAGCTGATTCTCTCTAACAACGTCCAAAACAATCTCCCTGCAGCAGCAGCGATCACTACTTTAGAAGGTTAACGCTTCTATGAAAGCATCCTGATTATTGATCAGGATTCATGCAAAATATTAAACATCTATGTATTTTGAACAGATTGCAGTCTTCTGATGCAGTACATATACTGTACACATAATACATGGCAAATCATAGGACATGACAAGGAAACACTTCAAACTATCTAATGTTATGCCTCAGGCTGATTAAATAAACAAAAAGAAACATGACAGACTCATGCACATCTTACTCTTGGCCTTAATTGCAAACAACTGTTTTGTAATGTATGAGGCCTTTGCCATCCAATTCCTTGGCTGATTTTCTACTGATGAAAGACTTTCCACTTCATTGAACTGTGAAGGCATCATTTCTACTCCAAACCCATGGAGACAGAAGAATTAATTTACAATTCCCTACTATATGAAAAAAGTGATAGGCATCTCATAAGAGGTGGGACTAGCAGCAGCACTATTACAAACTTCATCCTCAGAAAATTGTTCCAGCTGTTACAAGCTCCTCAGTGTAGCTCCACAGGAACAGAAAGAAGTCTTTTTACTATGGACGGCTGTGGTACATCACAGTGCCTTGCAAAGAAGCAGCCCTGATCTATAGGATTGGTGAAGCAAAACCATCATTTGTTTTAAAAGACGAAAAGCACCACATATGCTATGCATTGAAAGGGCCAGACTCCATCAAGGAGGTAAAGGAAACAATGGTTTGGTTTGTTTTTTTTAAGTGAATGGCCAGTCTTGCAAGAGGTAGTCATGTTTAATTATCACTGCATCAAGTAGTAATTAGCAATGCATATCCGGCAGTTAATGTTACACCTTCAGGCTCATTTGGATCAATTTGCTCTGAAGGCCCACAGAATTAACAGGAGGAGAAACTTGCACTCACTGCTGATTAGGGAAAAATTCTGACTATGTTTCCATCCTGGAGTCTAAAATTTCCACCTGCATACACCTGGTCTGCCCTGGTACAGTGGACTACCATTCTATCCGCTGATAACAAAAGGGGAACAAGTACAGCTACTAACACAAGTTCATTTATAGTTAAGATCCAGTAAAATTTCCTTTTGCAAAGCCACAAAGGCTTTATCCTAAAATGTTGTAAATTGACATTAAATATTTCACAGCTGTCATGTTCACTTCTACTTTTGACACTTAGATATTAAAAGAAATCCAGAATATAGCTATTCAGGTATCTTATCAAGATCAAGCCTTGCAGCTACTTAAACACTCCAAACTTCAGCTCTTACTCAATTTAATAGATTGCAATAGCAATGACATAAAATGCTGAGTTACTCAATAAATAAAAGTAGCAGCAATGCATTTTTATATTGCATAAAAGAGTAGAAACAATCACAGGACTAGGCTAAAATTGTAGGTACTTTCTTAGAATCATAGAATGAGAGAATAGTTAGGGTTGGAAAGGACCTTAAGATCACCTAGTTCCAACCCCCCTGCCATGGGCAGGGACACCTCACACTAAACCATGCCACCCAAGGCTTCGTCCAACCTGGCCTTGAACACTGCCAGGGATGGAGCATTCACAACTCCCTTGGGTAACCCATTCCGTTGCCTCACCACACTCACAGTAAAGAACTTCCTCCTTATATCTAATCTAAACTTCCCCTGTTGAAGTTTTAACCCATTCCCCTTGTCCTATCACTACAGTCCCTAATGAATAATCCCTCTCCAGCATCCCTATAGCCCCCCTTCAGATACTGGAAGGCTGCTATGAGGTCTCCACGCAGCCTTCTCTTCTCCAGGTTGAACAGCCACAACTTTCTCAGCCTACCTATGGGAGGTGCTCCAGTCCCCTGATTATCCTCGTGGCCCTCCTCTGGACTTCTTCCAACAGTCCCATGTCTTTTTTATGTTGAGGACACCAGAACTGTACACAGTACTCTGAGTGAGGTCTCAAGAGAGGAGAGGGGCAGGATTTCTTTTCCTGTTGTTCCTAAGTGTTAGTCTACTCTTCCTGCCAACATTTTTGTTCAACCCCAAAAGTGCACTGAGCTAATTCCAAAGGCTGTTTATACTTATGCTGTGGCTAGGATATTCTTTGAACATATGAGACAAGCATTCAAATTCTCCCAAGCTGATGAAATTCTTAATGTAAGGTAGCCAAAACTGTACAAAACAGAACTGCTGGTGAAGCAAAGCTGTGTGCTATGAATCCTTGCTAGGCTTGCTAAGCATCAGCTGATCTTGTACAGCCTCCTCAGGAAGCCTAATGGATGAATGCCATAAAGTCATGGAGAGGCAAAGGGCTGTACTGATATATCTGGTGTAGACATTATTGGTTACTAAATCACTGAAGGCACTGTCCTCACTCACAGTAAGGGTAACCTAGCACCTATTCCTGGATTACAAATTCTACAAGGTTATTGCAAAGTTTAGGCATTGCAAAAGTGATCCCCAGTACCCCAAATGTCTTGGAATAACACCCTTGAACAAGAAAATCTTATGTGAGAAGCCATGCTTTAGGTCTGAAATTTAGCAGTTAACTAAAACTTTCTAAGCTTATGAACACTGCAGCAGCCTGCACAGTGAAACCAATGTTATCACTGTTTCTAGAAGAGAGCTGAGACCATATACTCTGCAGTAGTTCACCTCTGAATTCAGGGCTGACATTACAGGCTTCACATGGTATGGGGAAACCTAAGTACTCTGACTACTTTGGTCAAATGGTCAAGTGGTAGAATTGCTCTATTAGCCACCTAGCAATCTCCAAACCTAGTAATGCATTATGAAAACAGCATTAGAGTTCGTTTGATTAACACTGGTGATCTCATTTCATTTCGTTTATGGCTTTTTATTAGTTACAATTCAGCAGATCTGATGTCCTTTTAACTTTCACAGCTTTCTGTGTAATCAAGCCAAAGGTGTACTGGCACTTTATGTTCCATTAATTCCAGTTTTTCTACTGCAGCTTTTTTGGAAGTATATTCTGAGAATCTAGAAGGAGCTCATTTTCTCCCACAGAAATAGAAGCCAAATCCAAGACAGAAGAGACCACAGGAATGAAACACTTCTGCCTTTAATTTAAGAGATGCTATCTGCCCCATCTACAGCAAAATCAGTGTGAGAGAGTGCTTTTAAACCAAACTTTACAGTCCTGTAGAGAGAAGAGGGAAGTTTCAGGTGTGAAAAAGAGGAGAGCATGACAGCTCCTAGAGCCATTATTCAAAACAGTGTATTCTCAAAGACAGGCCAGGGATGTGTAGTAAATATGCTTTGTCTATATTGATTTTGGTCCTACCATATCCAGCCAGTGTATCCCAGCATATTTTCTGCTTGCACCTAGACTGGGAGACTCCACTGGCGTTACACTGACATGCCCTGAGTACAGTCAGGTAATGGACAGAGAAGTCCCCTCTCTGGGGAACATACATAGACCCCCTGGGAGCATGTGTGAACCCATTCTCCTCCTCCTCCTATTCCACCCCCTTCCCACTCTGAATCTGCATCATTAGGATCCCCATAATCTCTACAAAAAAGGAAACACAAATCCAGAATAATGACTAATCCAATGTCTTCCATGAGGGTTGTTGTGGGTGGTGCTGACTCACACCAAGCGGATGAAAACAAGGAAGCTCCTGGCCTCAGTGCAGCTGACAGGGTTGGGCTATGTTTTCCAGCTAGCAGAGAAGGTTGGCTTTGCTGTGGGAACCCAAATCTTCAGTGGTGGGAGAGCAGGAGCAAAGCAGGTTTGTTTACTGATATACCCTGGCCCATCACTCAGTAAAGAGGTGTGCTTCTGGGGGTGGGCTGCTCTCATCTTCTCCTTAGGGGTATAAGGCAGGTTTCTCCCTTGCTACATAACCTTTCTGCGTATGTATATGCAGAGCAAGCCTTATTCTAAATCTTTCATATACACCTGCTGTTTCATAGTCCCCAGAGCTCACCTCCATGTCTGAGCTCTTTCCACTTGGGAGATAGACACCTGGTATGGATCTTATCTCAGTCTTTCCCTGAGGCTGTTTAAAACAATCTCTTGGTTTTGGTAAGATTTGTTTGTTTGCTCACATATATTGTTGTGGGTTTGTATTAAGGAAGGAACTCTGAGACTTTTGTGTGCTGTCCTTTTGTAAAGTGGTAGATATGTAGTTGCTCAGACTTCTCACATGAGAATAATCTTGCCCTTTTGCTGGGTTTTTTGCTTGACTCACCAAATTTCCAGGGGGACAGAAAGGGCAGCTCTTTATGTCAAGCCAAGGGTACTATGAGCATGACAGACAAAAGATATTACTCTCGTAATAAAAATATAGGAGAAATTAACCACTTAAAAGGGAGCTAATTTGAATTGTCGGCTCAACATTACAGATGAAGGGAGATGTCTGCATATGTTTTGAGCTACTCTAAAGCAGGCATGGCCAAGCTGTGACTCCTGACCCACATGAATTTTACTCAGGGACAGTTCATGCATGCCTTTAAGGCAAGGATTATGTTATTTCTCCAACACCAGGAACGCCATTAGGCCGCAGGATGCAAGGAAACCTGTAAAAGTTAATGAAAAAGATGAGAAATTTTATGCACTGAGCTAGCCAATTTGAATTGTCCAAATGAATCATTGCTATAACCCTGCAGGTTGCATCTTGGAAGGATAAACAGCTACTGTATCTCAGAATAAAAGCCGCATGAAAAAAACTTGGAGAAAATAAAAGTGATAGACAAAAGACACTAGTTACTTCAGAAGGAAAGAATACATAGAAGCAAGCACAGATGTAATTTGACAAGAAATAGGAATAAAAATCTGTGGCTGTAATTATGAAAAGAATATTTAGCATAGAGAAAGGAAAGAAAACAAATCAGCTGCCATATGTGAGAGCACAATATAAGAGACGGAAACAAGCAAAACCATTTCATGCCAGTCAAGGTATTTAAGATGAATCAAACAGGCTTTTACAGGTATATTGAAGAAAGAAAATTATAGAGAAAATAACTTGATAAATAAACCAGGACATATTCATTCTCCAATGGGTTGAAAAAATACCAAAGAAGATTTGAAATTACATTTAACTCAAAAAAAAAAAAAAACCTGAAATAAACTGAAGACTCATATTGTAGCTTGTCTTTTCTGATAGCTTTTTCTCTGTATATACCTTTGCCATGTAGGTTATGCACTCCGACATAATCATGAGTACCTGTGCCAGGTATGTGCTATCTGATGAGACTGGCTGAAATCTGTACCCTTGTATTTGTGTGAATGAAGGCAGAGGTCTGTCAACACAACTATTCTGCTTTCCGGTTAGGAATACAAGAGTCTGCAAAAGTCTCATTCCTTCTCAGTGTAAATAAGAATAATCTACCTGAAGTAGACACATTCAGTATAATACCAGATATCTTTTCTATTTTCCCTCTATAAGCCAGACTTTCAAACTCACTTAGCTGAGTGCCCCAGTTCAGCTGTGAGAGTTGGCCTTCCTCCCCTGCTCCCAGCAACCTCCCACATCTTCGTGCCCTCAGTTCACCTCCAGCAGAGAGACCAAAAAGCATCTACCAGAAGCTGGATATTTAGGTTTAAATTTCCTCAGCTTGTGGAATCTGAAGTCTTGGTCTCCACCTGTAGCTCTCGCCATCACCGGGTTTCATAGCAAAGGAAAGCATAACAGCGCTGAACATGGGTCTCTTTGGAATAGCACCTGACTCTTGTTTCTCTGCTCTTGAAGTGCCTGCTGAACTGGATTCACAATTAGGTCACTTTTAAGCTGCTACAAAGCCAGGTAGTCCTAATTCTGAAGAACTAATGCAGCTGTAATTCTAATAAAAATAACCACAGCAACAGTCATAATAATGAGCTGGATTATTCCACTAAGCAAGTGGAGAAATCTTTCTGCTCATCACTCAGAAGCAGAGAAGTTAGCTTTCTATCCAAAGGCCAGAGTCATAACTAAGATGAAAATCCATAAGCAACAGGACAAGCAAGACAGCATAACTCACAAACTGAAAAACAGAAACCATTAAGACTTCAAACTATGATCTTATCCTCAAACTCCACTGCAGAAATGCACTGTAATGCTCTAGCACAGAGAGAAACTTGTTTGACCCCTTACCTGCCACAGAACTTCAGATTATTTCTTGTCAAACTTGTATACTTTGAAAGTTAGCTGTGATAGGGTACTACTGTGTAACTGCTTCAAGCCACCAAATCTACCTAGAGAAAAGGATAGATGTCTCCTTAACAATCTGTCCAAAAATTATAAGGCAAAGTGACATCGCAGCTCATGATTTTGTCCAAGGGCATTTCCAAAAAATGAGGGAAAGCTCATCAAATTGAAAATAACTTCAGTGGTACATCCTTTCAATATGTTATTTTAAATACATTATTATTTAATAATTAATTACGTTTTAAAACAGAGAGTTCAATGGTTCCATTTAATGTTTTACCAACACTCATGAGCATGAAAGCCTTTTCCCAGCCATTTCCAGATAACATAAAAATTAGCAAGAGAATAAATAATCAGGAAGTCAGCTACTGTTACCCAGTGATTGCATTTTTTGTCATTTTGACCAAAAAGACATCATTGGTTTATTGAACTTGACAAAAAAAGAAGAACAAGATCAGTTTTTTTGCAGAATTGCTCCATCAGTGTCAAGACCATTTACATAATGCCTCCTTCAGTATCACCATCTCTCCTTCCAATTTTGTTATCTGATAGCACACAAGTCCCTTCTGTGTCATCTTCAGGATAAGTTATCAGGATGCAAGGTAGTTTTCATAGATCTCTGGGGACTACTATATTTCTGCTCTTTTGCAAATGTCTTCAGCATATTAGATATCTCCATTCTGCACAGCAGTCATGCCGACATGCAGACAATCATCTGGTGGCTCAACTTGCTCAGGCACAACAGCTTCACTTCACACGCTGACTATTCAGAAACCCCAATCCAATGGTCCTTAAATCGTGGCTGGGTCAAAATTGCTTGTACTGAGTTAAAATTTCTAGGCCAAAGAAAAGCGCACATGCTCTAGGAGAATAGCTAGTTCATCGGTTTCATGAAGAAGCCTCAGAACTTATCCCACAAAGCAGATGAAAGAAGTTTGTTTGACAGCCCCATTAACTGAAAGCTGCTGTGAATGGCACCAAATAGGCAAGAGAAGTGTGAATTTCGCTATAGTTACAATAACTGCAGGACAAAGAAGGACTAGAGGAGAGAGACTGATCTAGTCTTCATTCCCCTTTCAGTCCTTTGCTTTTCAGCTGTTTCATGTGAGAGGGTCTCCTGTTCATAAAGAATAAGACTTTAGATTCTCAAGCATTTTATTTCAGTAAAACGAGCCAGGAATAAGGGCATAAGCTGTCATAACCAAGGTTTCTAAACATAATAGCAGTTATTAACTGGTGAAAATTTTAGTGGTAGTTTTTAATAAAAGATCACTGAATAGAAGTTCAACAGAGACCCCTGAAGACTGAAAATGGACTAGTTTAATGTCGTAATTAAGACAAAATCCCATGAGTGTGCCAGAGATTATAGAACAGTTAGAATAACTTCTTTTTTAGTAAAGCATTAGGTACCATTTTTCAGACATCAAATGGTAACAGTTTAAAAAAAGAAAAATGTCTTGATTTAAAGATAGGCAGCCTTCCTGAAGAGAAGCATAACCGTGTTTCACTTAGAAAGGTAATAAGAAGCAGTTGACTCCCATTAATCTTGAATAGATCAAAAGGACACAGACAGCATAATAAAAATTTCAGTGAGTGCATAATAAAGTTTCACAGTGGTTGTGTGAAGGGCTAAGAGTTGTGAGAAAAATGGAAGAAATCTGTCTGGTATTAATGTAGCATCAGCTTTTGGCAACAATAATACTTCTATGACTATCTATCTGTATGAGTTTGTCTATTTAAAGCTAGAAAACAAACTGCTTCACAAGATTAACATTAGTGCCAGTTTCTAAATTGTGAATTAAAACATAGGGAAACTATTTTTACAGGTGGCTTTCCCACTTTCAAGGGTTTATTTTACAACTTGGAGAAAACACCAACAAAAGAAGCAGCAAGTCAGCAGCTGAAGAAGCAGCTGAAAAGCAAGATATTTATGAAAGTACAAAAAATATTGATATATGTTTCCAAGCTTAGGCATTCAAGCTAGAAATGATTGGCTTTTAAGAAACATATATAATCCAATAAAGAGGAATGCTCATCTTAGTAATAAGGCTCTGCCTGAAAATGCAGGTGCTGTGGGTTGATATTTGTCTCTCCCTCACCCTCCCTGCATTACCTTTGGCAGGTCACTTACATCTCAGTTTCTTCTCAACAAAGGAATCACGTTTCTGCTCTGTGTAGAGGTTATACTAGGTAAATTCATTAACATCTAAGCCTGACTGCACAGCAGTAAGGAGCAAATAAATTAGACATGTATCATCAGAGAAGTTGGTGGCTACAAAAATCTGTGTTAGTGTGACAGAAAACCAGTTTCACAAATATGTTTTATAATTCTTTTTCCCTTGACATTTAGAGTATCTGGACTTTTACCAAACTGCAAAATGTCTTCAAGCTTCAGTAGCTTAGCTTCAGCCTGATAAGGTAACAGATGCCACATGAGAGAAGGCACCTGTTATGCACCATGCCTGCATTAGGTAATTATGTATAAAGCAACTTAGATATGCAATCCATAAAAGTAAAACCATTACCTCTGTCAGCTTTTTGAGCTACTCATGGAGGCAGCAAGAGTGTGCTGAATGAATCTGAAGAGACGTATATCTCCTCAATGAAACTGGTGTGCGCCTGCAAGTGTGTGTGCTGTTGTTTCTGTGTGAATCTATAAATTCATAGATACAATGCTTTTCCCCCAAGAAGCTGGTGGATAAAGCAGTAACAGCAAGCTCATGCTTGTGTAAGTGAATAGGAGCCAGATGGTGAAATATTATAAACTGATAAGTTCATAAGGTCAAACAGACATATGGTTGAAATGCCAAAGTGTCACATTAGGTCAGTAAGTGTCACCACAGTAGTATTACTGCTACTTTGCAAAAGGATTAAGAAAGAGAAAATAATGCATCACTGATGTCTTCTGCTTTCTGCTCCTCGAGGTCCCAGATCACAACTGGCTCTAGTCAATAGCATTAACTTAACCAGTGAGTGCAACCGACTGGAACAGCTTGTACCTCAGAATGAGGAAGATAACACTATCATTTTTTTAGTTGAGATAACTTTATAGTAATCTTAATTTTCTTTCTCATAAGCTTGTTTTACCAATGTCAACTTTTCATCTTGTCAAACATATCTGGCTTCCCCATGGTAGCATGCCATAAACTATGCAAGTGTCATGATCCCCTCTGCAGGGGGTTCTACTTCAAGAATTTAGGAACTTATTCTTTTATTCTCAGTCACAATGGTCAGCACCTTTGAAGAATCAGGTTTGAAGAGCATCAGGATCAAGAGAGACCGCATGGCTTAATGTCTATGTTTGCTTAAGGGCCTCTTTCCCATCAGGCTCCTTTTCCATGTGTAATTGTAAATTTAATAGAGTTTCTTTCTGTGATAGTTCTATCACCATATCAGTAAAGATAAAGAATGTAAAGACAGGAAAGAATGAGAATATAAAGTTTTTGTGTTTGCAACTAAGACCTTAAAAATTATTTGGGCATCACCTACCCAACCCACAACAACACATCCAGAAGTATCAGGAAAATCAAGCTAAATGGTTTCACTCTGTTCTATGTACTATTATGCAACCAGCTGTTTCTGCTCATTTTAGAACACTATGCTAATCTCCAAACCTGAAAATTGGCATCAGTCGTAACGTGGAAAAACAGCTCAAATATTTTTAACATATCTTTTGCGATGTGGCCTGTGAATATTTCATGAGGAAAGTACCAATCCACAGAAGAAATATACATTTATATTGGAACTAAAAGCAAAGAAGTATTTATGTTTTTCATATTTTCACATTTGAATCTAATTTGTACAGCATGCCTAATGAACCATACATGTGCAGAGAAAAGGAACAATTCAGCTTTGCCTGCTGCGTTCTGTTTCTGTTTGATTTGTGTTTGTTTGTAAGTGATGCTAGATTCCCAATTGCTAGGTTTATTGTTTATTGATTTTTACTATTATTGGGCTCTACATATATATAGGAATTCATGGTCCAGAGATGTTTACTAACTGTGCAGTGGGAACTGTATACAGGCACCTTGCTCATCAAAGTCAGTGAAATACCAAGGAGGGCCAGATCCTGGATAATGCCTATCACTCTGGACTGAAGGTGCTCAAAGGTCTCACAGGTGGAGTTATGAAGGTAAAATTACACAGAATCAATGAAAGCTGAAATGAAGCTGAAATTTTGTCCATGCTGCATATGCGCCATAGGCTAAAAGGTTTCCTGAATGCTGTAACCAGCCATACTAGTGTGAGCACTTAGTCATTATTAAGATGCTATTCTATCTTCCAGCCTTCACCACAAACAGCCAGAACCAGATCGTTTGACTGTGTGTTGCAAGAACTGTAAGCTGTCACCACAGAATCATTTAATGTTTTTACTTATAGAGAGTAGTCAGGAAACTTTTATGCTCTGTAACAGCTGTGGAAAGACACGTCCTGTGAAACATACACTGCACTCAATGGCATGGTTGTCAAGATCTTTCATTAAAACTTGATACATAAAAAAGAGCTCATGTTACTTTTCCAAAAACCTACAAAAAAGACATTC